ACGCAAGCGAGACCGCACCAAAACGGGATCTCGTGTTTATTTTCGATAAAGTTGTAATCTTTGTTTTGTTGCACGAGGAGGTCTTATAAAAAGACCGACTTTTTATCGATTCTTGTTGTAACGCTTGAAGTTGTAACAGATTCAAAAGCAATGAAAACAGCAACTTTCCCCGAAAACACTATCGCTATCCCAAAAATTTCCGTAGCTTTGTTTTACGGTGGCTTGTCAATTTCACGCACACGCGCGCATATGCACACACACAAAAACAAGGCTGTTTATTAGGTCCTTCCTCCATAATAGAAGGCTAAGCCTAAAGAGAGCTTGTAAACTAATAGATGTTTAGTCGAGTGTTTTTTTATATTTCATAGAACATATCTGATGGCTTTAGCTTCTTGATTTATATTATATCGTTAATTTACTATCCCTATAGATCTCTTGTTGCTGATAGGCTCCTTGAGAGAGTTCTATTATTGCAAATACAACCACTGAGTGAAAACCCAATGTTGTGGGTAGACCCTATAAGAGTTTAAAATAAAAATTGGAAGGGAAAAATAAGTTTCACTCAGGGGATCTATCTGCAGTGATAGAACTATGGGGTTAATAAGTTCTATTTGGCGATGGTAAGGGGGTATATCTGCAATTAACCCCATATTAAGCTCAAATTCGGTATTTTGGTGGATTTGAAATTCACTACTGCCTTCTTCTTTGGCAAATCAGGTCCATGTCGTGTGCATTTAGTAGTTAGATTTGAGCTAGATGATTCATGAGAACCATGTAATTGTAGTACAAGGTAGTTTTGTTTATATGATAAGAATTTAGCACGTCATGCTTTAAATGTTTGTACTCCTGGATTCAATTTTTTAGTCTGCTGCATATTTGTATAAGGTTGAACGTAACTCACATTCTCTCTTTTCATTCTTCAGGGAAAGAATCATATAAATTTAAGAAGAAGCATCAAAACCTCTAAGGAAAGGATAAATTTAGCTGCTGCAAGCAAGTCCCTGATGACTACTAACATTTGCTTGTTTAGGATCCTAGTTAGCGTGTATGTTTTCTACTTCGGTAGTGAACATGTTTTTGGCAATATATATGTCATGTACTTCTGTGGATACTTCTATTTCAGTGCGAAACTCATAGACGCATTTTTACTATTTTGAGCTGTTCATTTGGATTTTTTGTGGTATTAAGATAGTTCACGTTTCTGTGCTTTGCATGGACAAATGTGTGAAATATCTTGTAATTAATATGTTTGATTTTAGTGGTGAGCCCTAGGGGGAAAAAACTTATGTAGAAAATATTCTATAGAAAATCACACAAGAAAGAAAGTGGGGCTCATGTATCACATTGTAAATTTTACTTTAAAAGATGTATCACGTTGCAAATTTTAAAGAAATGCACACAATCCATAAAATCAACACAAAGAATAAAATTAATGCAAACTGAACATGAATCTATCTATTAGTATATATTAAAAAAAACTGTTAATACACGCATGGTTG